TACCACAGTCATACTGCGAGCGAATACTGATGTAAATAAATTACAATAAATATTTTTTGCAGTTAAGTTTTCCAAAAGCAAACAAAAGGTTTGCATTAAAAATACTGTTTGTGGGGATAGAAATGTATTACAGAAGGATAAGACTATTTTGGAAGAAAATAATCTTAAGGAAATGAATAAAGTTGAAGGTAATTTTATTATTAACGTAATTATTCAAATGAAATAAATTTCTTCCTTTTAAAATCCATAATTTAATAATTTTAAAATAACCATAAATACAGTTTACATACGTAAATAAATATTCATATATAGAAATCCATAATATAATCTTACGTAAATAAATATATTTACATATATAAAATATTTATACTTCTATGACTCTTATCACATATTTTGAAAAAAGAAAATCTATGGAAAATGTTAATTTTAAAAATAATGTTACTAATTGTTCATTCATTATACTACAGTTTACTTAATGCTACAAATGTTTCAAAGCACTTTTTATACATTGGTCAATTAAATTGGTAAAATTTTTGGTAAAACTGTAGAAAAGAGGAGCTACCCCCGATGACTTGACCTTGGTATGTCCGTTAAAAAGTTATTAACAAAAAAGTTTCAAAAATAATGTATCATTTCTGCCATATATGTATTATAACAAGTGCTATTTTACATTTTGCGTGAAAAGTTTAACGTTCCTGAACAGTGAAAGGTGTAGAATAGTATTTAATATCATACATGTATAGCAAAAATGATACATTAATTTTGAAACTCTTTTTGTTAATAAATTTTTAATGGACAGCGACTGCCATCTAAACCTGTGAAAGGTTACTCAGGGTCATGATCTTGACAACATATATCAAGGTCAAGATCATCAGGATGGCTCCCCTTTTCTACAGTTTTACCAAATTTTATCTTTTAACTGATCAGTCAAATGATTCAAAATATTTGTTGTACCAAAAATGAATCATATATTATACTTACAATTATTTACAAAAATTTAGCTATATCTTTGACAAAAAGGTGTTTCTAAGGCAATAAAAAAATATTTCAATATTTAAATTTAATTTTCATTTTGTTTCATTAAGAGTTAAACTTTATGATTTTTTGTTTCATATAAGATGATTCAAGAAGTCGATATTTTGGGAGGTGATAATATCAGTTATTTCAAACAAAAGTATTTATTGTATGTAAACACATGTAATTGTAGTATAGCTAGGTATATACCAACTCAATTAGAAATGATCACGGCGGGTACAGCCAATGGCGTTGCTCCGTTTTGATTGTGTGCGTGCGCGTTTGCGTGTGTGCGTGGCTGGGACAGCCAATGGCGTTGCTCGTTTTTGTTTGTGTGCGTGCGAGTTTGCGTGTGTGCGTGTGTAGGTAAAAAATGCGTGTGAAGGTCGCGCCTCGCTGGTGGGGGCGCCCGGGCGGTCGCCATGACGACGTCGCGGGCGCCGTCGTCGCGGCGAGCGCGTGGCGAGGTTACGTCCGCCGCGCGCGCATTTTGCAGGTTATGTCCGTTCTCGCGCACGCGCGTGCGCCGTCGAGATTTTCGCGCGCTTTCACGGGATAGCCACGTGATCGCGCGCGTTGTGTTATCAGGTTAGCATAAGCGCGCTCGCCGCGGGCGAGTGAAGCGAGGTTATGTCTCTCTCTCGCCGCGCGCGCGTTCTTACAGGTTATGTCTCTTTTCCCGCGCGTGCGCCGTCGAGATCCTCGCGAGCGGCGCGACGGTCGTTCGGACGGTCGTCCGTTCGTCGTCGTCGTCGTCGTTATTCCTCCTCGTAGCTCGATCACGCGCGCGTATCGTGCGCTCGACGCCGCCGCCGTCGTCGTCGTCGTCGTCGTCGTCG